TGGGCAGAATTTGCAAGCAACGTGCTCAGTGTAGCATAAATAGTGTAATTTTGATATGAATTGAAAAGTTTTTCATAATTTTCTAAACAAAAACATAAAAATCGTGCATAATATGGAGAAGAGTAAGGACAGTAAGTAATTAAAAACAACCAAAATATTCTGGTGGACGTTATTGCTTTTCTTAATAAAACGTGGAATCCTTACTTAACCTCAAATAAATCGTTAGTCTGGGGAAAAACGACATTTGTCGAAAAGTAGCATAGTTCAGTACACGAGATTTGAGTTTTTTCAAAAATTTGATAACTTAGTTCACGACCTATACCAACTTTTCTTTTGCACAATGTTACCTAATTTGAAGATATTGGTGTTGGGTATCAGTTATAGTCTATTACAATTATTTATGTTGAATACTAATAGACAGAAAAATTAAATAGATTCTGTAGTTTGACTTGTGTCGTTTTTCAACATTAGAAATTCTTGAAATTTGGAATGAATCTATAGCAAAATTCAAAAATATCAAAGGTAAGTATGGTATATTTTAAGGGATATTGTGGTTAGTTGTGAATGTATTGACCGTAAAAGTCGATAAATTTGCATTGTAGTTATGGTCTAATAGTTGCCATGGTAACACATTAACAGGTTACTTTTAACATTGTGAAGACTCGTAATGAAAGAAAAATATTAACATGAATAGGAAATATTCAAATAATGTAGGTAATCAGACAAAAGTGAAATAACTATCAAAATTATATTTTTATTGTGGTTCAATCTGTTATAAATTTGAAAAGAAGTCCTCATAACATTGTGGTACACATTTTTTATCAATGATAATATACCTCCTTTTTTTCTTTCTGTAATTCCCGGTGATTGACCCTCTGCTGTTGACGATGCTATTCTTCCATTGTGCTTTGAGGAGTTTGGCTTCAGTTTTTTCCACTTCTCTCCCATTTTTATTATTTTTTTTTCCTTTTTGAACGATACTTGTCGTTACTTCCACTTCTCTCTTTTTGACAGAAATGTCTTTCGTTCCTAGGGGAGTGTAGTCAGGATCTATTGTACTGTTGTCAGAGCTAAAATTGCGTGCAGCATCAGATGAAACTTGAGAGGAAGCAACGTTATCAGATTCTGGAACTTGCACCAAAGCCGTCGTCAGGGTTGTGTCATTAGAATCAGTCTCTGAAACTAAGACTTAGTAAGAAGCCATAGGTAGTACAGAACAATCGGCCTCTGAACATGTTCCGGAATCTCCGGTTAGCAGATGGTATTCAATCTCAAGTTTCGCAGATGATGCATCAATCACAGAATAATCAGTTTTGGGAAATTGTGCTGGAGTTCATTCATCCAAATATTATAATAAGTATTGAAAGTTTGCCCAGAAGCAGGGTTTTCAGCCTCCAAAAGTTGCTCAGAAGCATAGTATTCAGTTTCCAAGATTGGCATAGAATTAGCAGTTATCACTTGGTAATCAGAATCACCAAGTTGCGCAGTAACCTCGTTTGCTGTGAGGTAACCAGCCATTGGAATATGTGTGAAAGCGATAGTATAGCGTAATTTTTATCCGGAAGTTGCTCGACGGTTGGAATAAAGTCACAATAATCAGTAATTGGCTGTTTTTGATGAGACCAGGGAATTTTTGATTTGTGGTTGAGCAGAAACTGTTGGGGGAGTATCTTCGTTGTCATTGGTTTCTGTAAAAAATGAGAACAAATAATATAAACCGATACTTGGTACCTACTTGAAGATCTACCAATCAAGATGAACAGTGAATACATAGTCCTTGACAGACAAAATGTGTTAATTGGTTTTCAGCTGTCTCGATAAATTAAATAATGTACGTACTCATATTTCCTCACAACACAAGCTCACGTGCTTGAGTTGTAGATAGACGGTGTTCGGACGAACATGGAACGTCATTGACAGTCCATTGCATGTTGTTTTCGTTGTCGAAAGGTAGATTGAACCACGCTGGCAAAACTAGACGAAACAAATCTTCTGGATGCTTTCAACATGACTTTGGATTTTTCTGATCCCCTTATTTCTTCGATGAATCTGAAGAAATGCGTTGAGCACTAGAACCGTATGCAGCTTCTACGTGAGTTGTAAGATATGCTAGTTACTGCTCCAGAAGTATCTACAAAAAGAGTTTGAAGTGAATAGGAAAGTGAAGAAGAGAAATAGCCAGAAACTATTGACAATTCAGTTTAACTTTCTTATTAGTCAGTGGGCTATGCTTGAAGACTGGTAGTAAACAAATCTAAAGAAACGAACTTTAAACGTTCAAGCCAGTCTCGAATATACCTACACAGTAGGTTGAATGGACTGACGCCTATCAGAAAACAACTACTACCCTGGCTAATACCACGAAGGGCGTTGGATTATATCCTACAGGCGTCAGTGAAGGAATCTTCACAGAAAATTTCCTGCATATGCAATTGGCCATACAACTGAAAGAGTCGACCTTCAATTTTAGAACGATTTCGGGCTGCCAGTCTTCAAGCATAGCCTACTGACTAATGAGAAAGTTTTTCTTCCTTATTCAGAGGAATCGGGCAAATTACGGATATGCAGTTGGTTAGTACCTCGTCCACTAGATGGAGTGATTTTGTTGTTTCGCTCCAACTTAGGAAGAGGAATGAAATACTCTGAAAGAATTCCGATTTTCAATTATGGAATATAATTGACTTTAGGTCGATGATGACTACTGTCTTGCACTGATGAGTGCAAGAAGCCCGAAACCGGTCTGCAAGTGTGCCCGTTCCAAAATTGAAGGTCAACTTTTTCAGTTGTATGGCCAATTGCATATGCAGGAAATTTTCTGTGAAGATTCCTGCACTGACGCCTGTAGGATATGATCCAACGCCCTTCGTGGTTTTAGCCAGGGTAGTAGTTTTCTGATAGGCGTCAGTCAATTCAACCTACTGTGTAGGTATATCCGAGATTAGCTTGAACGTTTGAAGTTCGTTTCTTTAGATTTATTTAGTTTAATGTGAAGTATACCAAAAAGATTTGTTTGAATGTAGTTGACATGACATGCATACCAAAAAGAGCTAGATAAAATCAATTCGTATGAAATCATAGCCGGGTTACAGGAAATTGACGGGGTTTTGGTTTCTGTGAGTGCAAGAATATGAATACTATTTGATTGCAGATGTTGGTGCACTGAAATTATATTTGAGTTGAGTCCTCTGATGTTGCAGAAATCGATTTTGAAGTTGCCAGCGTGCCTCTTAGCAACTGCAGTAACCATGCTATGTCCCTGTGGACTGATGTTAGGAATACCCTGCTGATTGTCAGAAATAGTGGTTTTCGAATAACTTCTGCAGGATGGAGCCCTTGCTTTGAATCTGCCCCCACCTGGAGATCTGATTGGGAAGCTATTTTACCTCCGGAGTATTTTGTCCCTAGGAGCGCCACCATGTATCTTTCCTTAAATTCCTATGATACTTAGTACATATCAGATCTTGTTTTTTCAAGGACAGAACACTAACACTACAGGAGATTTCTTAAGACGCTCCAAGAACGGNGCAATTGACAATGGATTCAAATCGCTGGAGGTTGAATCTATTTCTTAAACAATGAAATTTGAAGTGTACTGAGTTGAACCGCAAAACCATGAGCAGTCATAGTCCGTCGCTTGTTTCTGATATGTACCGCTCTTGGTGGAATCAAATGTGCTAAGTCACTTGAACACCTCCCATGAAATTATCTATAAAAGACAGATAAATGTCCAACTTTTCTTAGATGTTCCGGACTATCGAGAGGTTGCGAGTGATGTTCGAGTCTCCAATCAGGCGGATGGCTCTTTTCTGGATTGAATCCAGCAGCTGCAAGGTATGCCTAGAGGCGTAGCTTCATACATGAGAACAATACTTCAACGAAGGTCTGATCTAAGCTTTATAAAGCATTAAAAGTTGCTGAGGTGTGTACAGTTTTCTGGTTCGGAACAGTGTTCCAAGCTTTTGAGAAGCAGATATTGCAATTCCAGCTACCTGATTGTGCCAAGACGTGTTGGTGGCCATTTTAACCCCTGACAAACTTATCGAAGCAGAAAGCGGTATTTTATATTCTGACATTATTTTATTCGGTTCTGAGACATTTTCATACAATAGACGTCCCAGTGTCTAGAATTGAACAACCACCTTTCAACTAATACATTCTCATCGTCATGTTCGGCTGAAATTACAATAAGTTTTAAATCAATAAATTTATAACCGTATTGCTACAATATAAATCATTTCTGTCGATTATGGTGCTAATCAAGAGGTAAACAGTTGACTAAGAACATTTAATATTTAATGTAAACTATAAGCTATGTTCATTTTGGGGTTCTGCTGTTTGATTTTGTTTAATTGGGAATTTGTGAGAGTATTGTCTTCTGGGGCCTTATTTTTTAATCAGGTTAACTCTATTATCGAAATAAAAATCGGATGTTCTAAAAAAGAGAGAGAGAGAGAGACATTCGATCTTTCCTTTCATGTGATATATCTCTATACCGAATGTTTTTCATTTCGCATCAATCGCAACTGTATTAACTTATATTGACAAGAATTATAGATGAATATCATGCAGTTACTCTACAAATCTTGAAAGAAATCCCGAATTTCATTTCTAAATCTATAAAAAAACGGTTAATTCCGCATTATGAAAAAATTTTATCGCACATATTAGGTATGACGTATTCAAAAAACACTTTATTGTGAGATTTCCACTAAACAGTTTTACAAAAACGCAAGACGTGTTTCGTCATACAATGGCTTCTTCTGGCTTCTTTATTCTTTACAGTAAAGACATGCCCGAAGAAGCCATTGTATGGCGAAACACCTGTTGCGTTTTTGTAAAATCGTTTAGTGAAAATCTCACAATGAAGCGTTTTTTGAATACGTTATGGATTTTCGTCAAGTATCGGCCAATTCCATCATATATATTATGTATGGGGCACATACACACATTCTTCAATTTTCATGACCAATGTACTAACTCACTCATTGTATTGATTACAGGGGGATTCAGGAGGACCTTTACAAATAGATAGCATTAGTAGTAGCAGCATCAAGGATCTCATAGGTTTATACAATATCATAGGAGTAACGTCATTTGGTAAGCCGTGCGGATTTGCAAGTAAGCAACCAGGAGTTTACACAAGGGTATCATATTATGTTCAGTGGATAGAAGATGTTGTCTGGCCAGATGATTGAATATTAGAATTCACTGAACTTGAGTTTTATATTAGTGAATGAAATTCAATTCCACTCATCATTCTCAAATGCGACTTGTCAATTCAACTTTCAGTGGATAGAAGATGTTGTTTGGCCACATGGTTGAATATTCGAATTCACTAAACTTGAGTTTTATATTAGTGAAAGAAGTTCAATTCCGCTCATCATTCTAAGACGCGATTTGTCAATTCGACGTTCTAATATTAAAGTTTCCTCATATATGTTTACATAGTTTGGTATTTACTTCTGAAGAATATCTGTGCTTAAATATCATTGGATACGAGGTTAGTATTTTTGAAATAAAATAAACGAAAATAAACATTATTGAACTTTGTAGTACATTTTCTTTATTAATTGTTTTTTTTTTTATTTAGATGAAACTCAACTCTACTGCCTCCTAATACAACTATATTGCCTTCTAATACAACTATATTGATATTCATACAATAACAACAATATCAATCAACATCTCAACATTGCATGTTCTAAAGTGCATATTTGCTTGAGATACCAGGATGGCTTTTCGGACACTGCGTCGATAAATATCGCAAAAAGTATAAATAGGAAAGTTATGGAAATTTGGCAGTACTTTAATTTCATTATGGATTCTGATTCTACGAATGAAATTTAGATATATTCCATGTCACCCGCTTTTCATCTATCTTGTATAATTTCCGAAATATTTGACATTGAGTAATACAAAATTGCATATGCAGGACATTTTTCATTTGAGTACATGTCTCAATTCTATTGAAATTTTCTATAAATCTCTATTTTTTGGAGGTAAAAATGTTTTTCACTTACCATTTTCAATTTTATTTATTATTCCATTCGTCGTTGCTTTCGATGGCATAATGCTTGATATGTTGTTCAAAATTTCTCTGCTTTGTTCAATGAGAACCTTGTTTTTCAATTCACTGTTCGAAGGCATTTTCACAAACAACAAATAACTCGCAGTTCTTAGTGTTACTACTTTTCGGGTTCGAAGACCGTTTCCTGCCAGCAAAACGTCACGAAGGAATTCCAAAAATTCACTGCCTTCGAACCCAAAAAAAGTGGCACTGAAAACCATTTTGTCAACTCACAGTTCACCACAGAGAATAATTTCTCCAGTTACTGTACTAACACGATAGTGACTACACGAGTTCCTCGATGTTAATGAGCAGTTTGCAAGGAAACATCTTATAAGAAAAATTAAAGTGATATAAAACAGATCAACCTCAACCTTCTAACACTAGTGAAGTTACTATCAATTCACATAAACGAACCTCATTGTTGTAATATAAATGTGAAAAGAGACATGCCAGTCTGTGCCATATCAACTGATCAGAAAAGTGAAATGTAAGATGAAAAAATAAAACAAAATAAAACTATTATAATTTTCATACAGTCATTGTTCACTGTGGTTCTGACGTTGAATTAGGTAATTATTACGCCTTAGTCAAAGACGAAACGGATTGGTTTAAGTTTAACGATAGTCGTGTAACGAAGTGTTCTGGCGATGTATTGAATTCATTGGAGTGAAGTTACTATCAATTCAAATAAACGAACCTCATTGTTGTAATATAAATGTGAAAAAAGACATGCCAGTCATATCAACTGATCAGAAAAGTGAAATGTAAGATGAAAAAATAAAACAAAATGAAACTATTATAATTTTCATGCAGTCATTGTTCACTGTGGTTCTGACGTTAAATTTGGTCATTATTACGCCTTAGTCAAAGACGAAACGGATTGGTTTAAGTTTAACGATAGTCGTGTAACGAAGTGTTCTGGCGATGTATTGAATTCATTGGAGCCTCTGGAGACACCCTACATGTTGTTTCATGAGAAAGGGGACATTGGCAGATCAAGATCTTCAGATGATATGGTTCTACAGGTTTTTCCGGGTTTTCCTGCAGCTGAAAAAGCAAATGCGCCACTGGAATCAATGAAGTCGCCCCGGAGCGCCAAATAATTTTTATTGCTGTTTCATAATTTCATGATTTGTATTTTGGAAGTGTTATCAAACAAAAAAATAAAGAAAAACTCAGAGAAGGTGAAAGAAAACAATCCCGAATAAAAAACAACTATTTATTGTTTGATTTTTATCAATTCCTACAAGAATTCCACTTAAAGATAGAATGTATATTTTCTTTGAAACCAGTACATCAATATGTATAATATGATTACCATTTATTTAATTACCTCTTGAAAATCCAGAATTATTCCAAGGGGATGCCCAAAACAAGCACCTCGAGTGCTTAGGAGAACCCTTGGGATAACTGTTCTAATAATATATGTATATTTGAGTATCTTTGTATATCGAATTGAAAAAAAAACATGCCCTACTCCGCCGGTTGTAACAAAAATGTAATTGAGCGAAGCTTTGAAAGAGTGTGTTACCTAAAGAAACAAAACTATTTGAGAAACTACTCCAACCAAAATACGTCCTTGGAATTCGAGATATTTAGTCAGTACACCTCAAAATAAAATTTTCGTTAGTGCTCGCATGGGGTCGAATCTCAAGCTACAGAAGGCGTTTTACATCTGTTCCATTCAATCCTCTTTGATCGTAGAGAAATTACTGAACATATGATTTTTTTATAGTTCTTCAAAAAAGTGTAGCACTGCCAGATCTGGTGAACTTGGTGTTGGTGGTGTAATGAATGCTAACTCATCCTGAAACGTTCTTGCTCTATTGCATATAGATTGCTATCACACCAGTAATGTAAATTATGTCTGTTGAGTAAATATTTTTCCACAAATGAAAATTTTTGAGTGATGCAATTGAATTTTATATACCAGTTTATTGTAATCATATCTCAATGCGGATCTACAAGTGATTTCGAATTCGGGTGAAAGTAACCAGGTTCAATTCAATGCTACAAAAACCCAGGCATCGGTTTTCTCCCGAAAGAAAAATGTTTCCGAAACAGATATAATAATGTCAGGACAGACAATTTCGATTTCTGCTTTGATATGTTTGTTGGGTGTTGAAATGGACGGACCCCAATATGTCTTGGCTCAATCATGTCGCTGGAATTGCAAAGGCTGCTTCTCAAAAGCTTAGAAGACTGTTCCGAACTAGAAAACTGGACACACCTCAACAATTTTTGATGCTTTATAAGACTCAGATGAAACCTTTTTTTGTAGTATCGTTCTAATATTTGGAGCTCCGCCCTCACGCATACTCTGAAGCTACCGGATTCCATCCAGAAAAGTGCTATCCGCTTGATTGGAGACGAGAACATCACTTGCAACCTTGATAGTCTCAAACATCGATTTGTCTCCACCAAGAGCGGTACATATCAGAAATACGCGACGAACTGTGGCTGCTCATTGTTTTGAAGTTCAACTCAGTACACCTCGAACTTGGCAGTTTAAGAACTCTCCAATTTGGAGAACTCCGTTTATGTGGAATGAACTTCCTGAGAACGTTTTTTCAAACGGATTTATTCTTCAGCGATTCAAATCTAATGTGAATCGTTACTTTCGCTTAAGTCGCGCTACTTTCGCGCGACTTTAGGATTTTCCTGTAGTGCTTGTGTTCAGTTCTCAAAAAGACATGGAACGATTTGACAACAGAAAATCTGAATAGATTAAGATTTTGAAAACTTTCGAAACTTGCGAATATGATAATGATGTTGAGGCTTATGATATATACAGGAAATATCCTAATCAACTTTACCCAAGAAATCTCCGCAATGCAGAAAGCAACAAACAATTTTTCAGCATTTTCGAGAGATTCTCGCTAAAAAATTCAGAACTTTTCATTGAAATGATGACTAACTCATATGATGCTCCAAATATTTTTGATTTTCAAGAATATTTCTCAACTGAATGAGTTGGTAATCTCACCTCCCTTGTTAGCTGAGCCAGAAGTAAACAGACTAGTATAAATATAAAATATACCGGAAAGAAAATTTATAACTCCATACTAAGTATGGAGTTATATTATTATGAAGCTATTATTGCAGGAGAGGAAAATGCTGTTTTGAGAAAAGGGGATGAGTTAGTTCCTAGCAAAGTATATTGTTAAATTGATTTAGCGTGCCTGCCCTGAGAATGAATGAGGATTAAAAACCAGCGAATTGAATTTCTTCAAAGTTGGTCTTTCATTTTGAACTCACTACATTTTATCAGTCACTGGTCTGAAGAACTTGACAGAGCCCATGAAAAGATTGTACACAAATTACGTTCTGATGTTACCGACACCCAGTTGCGTTAGATTCATAATGTTTCATCAAACAGTTCTTGCCGAGTTCAAATTCATGATAAACTTTCGAATCCTCACCCAGCAATAAAACCAATGTTTTACTACTAAATTGTATTCGAATATAAATTTTGATATATGAATTATTTAATGCGCTTCAGACTGTAAAGAAGTGCAGTCTAAAAACGCACATATTGTCTTGCTTCGCCAACATCGTCAAAAAAGCAAGTAAAGTACATAGAAGTAGAGGTAAGTAGTTCCTATAGGTACATTTATTCGTTATAAGGTTGCTATGATTATCTTTACTTTTGTATTAATCAATAACGAATAGGTGATATATTATATTTGAAAATACTCACTGAATAAAAATTGGAAAATTGGAAAAAATGGACATATCAGACGGCTCCCAAGCATTATAAAACAAAGTGCATACTTGTGAAGCACCAAAATCTCTTGGCGAGTAACGATTCAAGATGAAAAACATGCATTGGAAATACTATGAGAAAAATTGATCGTTAATTTTACATGGTAGCCGTTTCTTTCAACAATATGTCACCAGGACTGCTATTCTAAATAAATATAAGACAAATCCTTGAATGTGCTGTATTAGTTTGGAATCCTTACTCTGCCAAACATATCTATGGGTTTGAGCAAATCCAACAGCAAGTTATCTCTACAAATCCGTGATCAATCAATTAAAGCTTTCAAGAATGCTTCAGACGATTATTAGAATTGTGGAAACTGGTCTTTAGATTTGATGTTTGAACGACTATATCACCTTACGTTAATTGAATAATAATACTAACAAAATAAGTCAATCTAGTTGATATCCAGTAATTCAATTTTATTATTTTATTTTATATACATCCATACACCTGTATCAGGAGGCGGCTTAATGGGAATGACTTAGATAATACTATCTGAACAGAAAAGAGCAACCAACTATTGGAGGAAATAACTTGCCCTACTCCGCCGGTTGTAACAAAAATGTTGTTTTTGTTATTGACGTTCGATTAAGAACGTATCAAAGCAAATAACTGCATATTTGATTTTTGTAAACAACAAATATCAGCTGATTTATGGGCATAAATAGTGTAATTTTGATATGAATTGAATAGTTTTTCATAATTTTCTAAACAAA